GTCTAACCGGTCTACAGATGATTTCATGGCTCATCTACGCCCCCAAAAGAATATCATCGAAGAAACTTTCAAAAGTGATGCACAGTTCCAAGGAGAGAAATTTTCAGAGTTTCTTCTTTCCACTGTTTTCCAAGTACCATCTCAAGTATAATTTTTCACTTTCGCATCCTCGAATCTTCCTACGGCTCCCACAACTTAACATCGCAACGCTTTACATCCAGTGTTTCACATTCGTGATATCTCAATTCCCAGATCTTTATCCAAGCGTCTTTTTTCCGCCTCTTTTGAAGCAACATTCGTGTCAGTCCGTAGCGATATTTCAATCAAGAGATATATTTTTTCAATCTTGATTACTATCTGTGAATCTCACGTTATCCTAATTTGTTCATTCGGGTTGATCGGTTCATACTCATGATATTTTTCATCTATTTTCATTTTGTATTGTTTACAAATTGGCCAGTGAGTATATTTTGCCAGATTATTGTGCCGTCTCATGGGGCATGTTTGCGCTAGTGTGCCGAGCGTCTTACAGTTACATGGTTAACGAGTTCTTCCTCTGAATGACACAATCTCCATTCATTCACTATCTGTTTGTTTTTTTTAAGATTATTCTCTGATAATATTTCGTATTAAGAATTTGATCTTGGGCTGCAGTTATCAGACTTTGTGCCAGTCTTAATGGAGCCAAGTTCCACTTATCATTCCAAGTTTCCAAGTTAAACTCCTCTGAAGCAGACTCTCCTACGTTTTCCAACTGCCTCGTTGATTTTGTTTTACGGCTGTCACCGCTCGTTCCATGTAAGTATGTATGATTGTATGTATGTATGTATGTATGTATGTATGTATGTATGTGTGTGTGTGTGTGTGTGTGTGTGTGTGTGTGTATGTATGTATGTATGTATGTATGTATGTATGTATGTATGTATGTATATATGTATGTATGTATGTATGTATGTATATATATATATCATGTATTAAGCATTACGCCATCAGAAGAAAAAATTCCTGGAGTGTAATTGTGGGATATATTTTCTATTTATCTGTTTTAATAATAATAATACTTATAATTGTTATGATTATTATCATGAATAAAAATGTAAATAGTAATAATAAAAATAATAATATATTTAATAATTTAGTGATCGCTAACTTCTTTGCCATGGACATACCGTTCTTTTATTGTTATTATTAATATTAATGGTATTATTATTATTTGTATTATTATTATTATTATTATTGATTTCATAATTGTTATTATTATTTCGTACTGTTTCAATTCAGATGATGATAAACCATATCCTATAAAAAAAAGTGTTTTTTTGGCAAGTATTAATAATAATAACATGATTAATTATAACATTTATAATAAATAATAATTATAATAAATAATAATTATAATAAATAATAATATCATTAAATAATATTAATAATAACCTTATCATGATTGCTTTTACGGATATAATAAAAAATTACCTTGTTACAGGTTGGTGACTGGTTGTCTATTACTTTCTTAACAATATTTGACAAATTTTTCAATCAAATATTGAAATAATATTTAATTATTATTATTAATTATTATTGTTATTATTAATACTTATAATTATTATTATTTTCCGAGTCATTACTTCATTCCAATTCCAAAAACGCACCAAACTTCCGCCAAAAATTTTCCCGCCAAAAACCAACTCTCACCCGCAAACAGTAACTATCGCCATAGCCACGACAACCATAGACCTGACAGAGACCAAAGAATTCTGCAATATGGAAACCTTCATCGCCAACTGCAGTCACATCCCGAACAACCTAATCGTTGTTGAGGCGGCCAGTTACGGACTGATGCGATTAGGCAGATGTTTAAAAGTGGACTACAGTAACAAATTAGGATGTAGGGCTGACGTCATGGCCGCCATGGATAGACACTGTTCCGGAAAAGTTTCGTGCAGTGTGAAGCTACCTGATGAGCAAGTTTATTCTTTGAATGTTTGCCCGCCCGAGGTAACCTCCTACCTCGATGCCTCCTACTTCTGTCTAAACGGTTAGCGGTGGGCTGTTATTATTATTGTTATTATTGTTGTTGTTGTTATTGTTGTTGTTATTATTATTAGTTATAGTAGTAGTTGTTGTTGTTGTATTTGTAGTATTGTTTTGTTGTCTTTGCTTTTGTTTTGCTTTGCTGGTCTAATTGTTAATGCTCCTTTTATTATTGATTGATGAAGAAACAAATTTGAAAAACTAGCCTACCAGTCAACAACACACACCCACACACACACACACACACACACACACACACACAATCAAATACACACACAAACAGTCGAACCAGAAAATGCTCAAAAATGCGAAACTGCTACGGTGTTAACGTCAGAATCAGGGCACATAAGTTCATTGAGATCGGATCTCGTGCGATGCAGATGGTTCCTTAAGGTACCAAAAGGCAGACGCATCAACATAACGCTAATCGACTTTTTCCACCAGCCTAATTTCCAGCCATACTCTCACAACTACCAGATAAAACACCCACAACCACAACAACCACAACAGCTACAACAACCACAACAGCTTCTACCGACAGCCATCTCAAACATCAACGCACAGCAGCAGCAACAGCAGCAGCTACACAAGCATCAGCCAAATCATCTTAGCAACTACGTGACTTCGAGCGAATGTCTGAAATACGCAATCGTCAAAGAGACAACAACATCCGACAATTCGCCACCGAAAATTTCGACGATTTGCGGCGGCGGACCGCGCGTTCGAACCGTGTACCTCTCGGATACAAACTCTCTTGAAGTTTCTATTTATTCCGCTCTCAAAGGGCCATTCGGTACAAATGGTCAGATCGAAAAGGCGAGATTTTTGCTGAAATATAAAGGTTTGATATGTATTATATTAAGATAGTTACGGTGCTGTTTTGTTTGTTGTATTTTTTAAAACATCATCATCGCCATCACTATCATCATCATCATCATGACGACCACTATTATCATCATCATCATCATGACCAGCTTTTGGCTGCCCCGACCTTGACCCCAGAGGTTCAGATGGATGGACGGTGGTCAGAGAAGGAGAGAAATCTATAATTAGCTGTAACGGCTCTCACGATAATGCCAGGTTAATGCGATTTTATTTTCATAATTACTAATAATTATTATTAATTTTATTATTATTATTGATAATTTATAAGTAGTGGTAGTAGTAGTAGTAGTAGTAGTAGTAGTAGTAGTAGTAGTAGTAGTAGTAGTAGTAGCAGTAGCAGCGGCAACTGTAATAATAATAATAGCAGTATAGTAACAGTAATAGTAGTAGCATATCTCATTATTATATCTATTATTATCATATTTATTATCATATTTATTAGATCTATCATTATTATTATTATTATTATTATTATTATTATCATTATCATCATTATTATTATTATCGTTATTATTATTATTATTATAACCACTGACAAGCAGATACCATTTAATATGTGAGGACGACCGCTGGATAGGGGACATCCCGACATGTTCAGCTAGAACGGCTGATGAAGGTTTTTATTATTTTTATTATTTATTATTATTTTTGTTATTTATAATAATTATCATCATCATCATTATTAATATTATTGTTATTATTATTAGTAGTTGTTGTAGTAGTAGTAGTTGTAGTAGTAGTAGAAGTAGTAGTAGTACGGTAGTAGTAGTAGTGGTGGTGGTAGTAGTAGTAGTAGTAATAGAAGCTGTAGTAGCATCGATAGTGAAACCATTAAAACGCTAATGTTTATGTGTGCAGTATTAAATTGAAACAGTTTTTTCTGTCAAATTTTTGATTCTGTTTTCTTCGTTTTGTTGCTTATGTTTGGCATTTTTAAAACTTTGTTTATGTTTTGTCTGTTCTTTGTTTATTTTTTTGGTTTGTTTTTTTGCGTTCAAAGTGAAACGCGGTATTTTTGTATTCATAAAGTATTTTGATTCTATGGTTTTTTTTCTCAATGTTTTTTGTTGATTTTTCTATTTCGTGTTTTTGGTGTCCGAGAGTTGATATTTACTGTCTTCTTGCACCCCTGACACGCATGCCTATATAAACATGTAGATGGGTCGTCACGTGACAACATCAACAACAACAAACAAACAAACAAGCTATTACAAACAACGACAACAACAACAACATCTACAACATCAACAACAAAAATACCAAATGAAGAAAAACAACTGACAACTAAACAACAACTGCAACAATCTGATACAACCAAGCATACAAACATACATACAAACATACGTACATACAAACATACAAACAAACAAACAAACAACATACATACAAACAAACAAACAAACAAACAAACAACAACAACATAAAGCAACCAAATCAGATACACAACAACAACAACAACAACAATAGAAACAGAAATTTAAGAAGAAAATTGAATTTATTTGACCGATTAAATGCACGAACGATGTGTCACGAGGGTACGAGTTGGTCGCGGACCGAAAAATTTCTGGGGCCAACAATTTCTGGGGCCGAAAATGTTTTATTTAATAGTCAGCTAGTCTTCTGGGGTCTAAATTGTCTGAATTCACTTAGGTCAGAAAATCTTTTATTCATCTATTTCTGCGTCCATTCGTTCATTCATTCATCTGTTCATCACTCATTTATTCATACACTCACTCATTCATTCATCGTTTAGAAAAAGAAATAATACCACCATACATTTTAAAGATAACACGCAACAAATATTGTCAACATTAAACAATACACAAAGGAGGAGAGATTGAGAGGCAAAGAGAGAGAGAGAGAGAGAGAGAGAGAGAGAGAGAGAGAGAGAGAGAAAGAGTAAGACACACACAAACACACACAGCGAAAACACAGACGATCTTTGCAAAACCTAAGGAACATCAATACACATATACTCACTCACTCTATAAAGCCAATCATATTTCACAATTAGGAGCGTGTAAAGTAACAAACACTTCTGAAAATGTCCGCCAATCAATCGCCGAAGTTCTGCCACATAGTATTCCTTTCATTACCGCGGCCATTGAAAAGGACCGATATATTTTGAGGCCGAAAATTTTGTTGCGAAACAGCTCCGGAAAATATTTTCGTTGTCGATGAAGTGATGTTGATTGATATTTTTTTTGTAGAAATTATTTATGTTTGAGTTGGGCAGGCAATTTTTGGTCGGTTGTTTGCTTGTGTGTGTGTGTGTGTGTGTGTGTGTGTGTGTGTATGTGTGTGAAATGTATGTGTGTGTTTGTTGTGTAAACACGTGTGTATGTACAGACTTAACAGTACACAAATGTATACACAGAAGAGTCGAAGTGCAGATAACTCTGGCATTGGAACGACTTTTTGAATATTGAAAGAGGCAACCAGACATTAACATTTCTCACTCAATATTTTTCTGTCTTTACTAATATGGAGGCTTTTGTATGTGTGTGTGTGTTTGTCTGTTTGTATGTATGTATGTATATATGTATGTATGTATGTATGTATGTATGTATGTATGCATGCATGCATGCATGCATGTATGTATGTATGTATGTATGTATGTATGTATGTATGTATGTATGTATGTATGTATGTATGTATGTATGTATGTATGTATGTATGAAGGTGTGTTTGTTTGTTTGTTTGTTGGTTGGTATATATAAATGTGTGTGTGTGTTTGTATGTTAGTTTGTAT